AAAAAACTCGCATTATCGATGTTGGGATTGCACTGAACGGGTACCCATTCGAATGAAGAAAAGCCACATTCCTTGAAAAGCTCTTCATAAGTTGAAGGAGCAAAATAGTAGTTGTAGAATACACAAGACGAAGGTGTATCCGTTTTCCAATAGTATGTGTACTTGATCGGGCTACCTTCTTGGAGAGTCGGTTTAGTCAATTCTCGGTAGAAGGTATATTTTTTGTGTAGCGAATTGTTGAATCCTTCGTTTTTGCTGCAAACATTTTCATTCATTGAATAGAATGTTCCACCTTGTTTGAGCTGATCGTAGATACCTTTGATCATAGCTCGAAGATCAGCATGCGTCTGAGCATAGTTTAAATAGTAAATGGCCGTGACAATATCATAAAGTTGTTCGGGAATAGGAAGATCCTTTCCGTCAGCACAAACATAATCGATTCCAAGTTTGTTCTCATTCTCACGCGCCTTGGCAATATCGATCATTGCTGAACTGATATCGAGTCCACATAAATAAGCACACTCGGGAAACAATTCGCGAAGCTTTCGAGTATAGTGTCCATCACCACAAGCCAAATCAAGAATTCGAGAACCTTTACATAGGTTGAGTTCGTTTTTCAAAAGCATGCAGTTGAAAAAAGTATACTGTTCGACCGCTGTTCGATATGGAGCCTGCTTAAATTCGACATACTGTTCGGCGATAGAGTCGTAAATTTCTTTAGCATCGTGCGTTTGCTCTGCAACGATAGACATGGAAGCAAGTGAAACAGCGTTATGTATACTTTTGCTTTAACTGCGTATATCTTCACTCTTTTTCTATTAATATATCGAATCTTTTACGTATACAGCCAGGTGTCCAAAGTTTTTTTTTCTCTTCTAAATGAAGAGACACGTAAAGTAAGCCTTATCTATGAATCATGCACTCGCTAAGATAAAGTTTAGTGTATATTTACGAGTTATATTTCAATATAAGAGAAAATGTGTTGGAAGCGATTTACCAGTACATTATTGTCGCACAGATTGTTCGTCGAAGGCCGAAAAATTTTCGCCGAATGACATATTTGGTGAAAAATAATTCGTCGAAAGGCCTTTTGTAAAAGACATTTCATTGAAAGGTATTTCGGCGAAAAGTACTTTAATTGATTGTACGAACTATCTTTTGTTTTTCAGCTTGTTTAGGTGTTGTACTAGTATTATATGAATTTTTATAAAAGATAGGAACAAAAGCACAGTTGTATTATATGTAATTTTTTGTATATCGGCGTTGCCAGTATACTTATGATGCGATATTTACTCTTGATCAATAGTGGCGGTCAATAATCGGAAGTGTTATGTAACGGATATCTATTTGCCCTAGAGTTATTGCTTACTATCTAGTCCTGCTTATTTATTTTCACAGAAAGAATCAATAATGAAGTGTTCTGGAATAAGAGTTAATGATTGGCTTCTGTCTGACAGCTGCTTCTTTGTTGTTCACCTTTTTTTAAGATATTTTTTTCTTATTTTGCTTACGTTAAGTTTATTTGATCTGGCAATTACATTTTTACAAGATAATTTGTATAGCATCTCAACACTCAATATCTATTACGTTCTAATCTGCTAACGATTATTGGTACACGACTAAATATATGTGTATCAATGACAAAGACTTCTCTATCTAAGTATAATTGCGTACGTCTCATAAATTGAAATTTATAGACCAAAGGTTGAAGGCTAAATCGAGTATCGCTACGTTTCTAAAAAGTTTCAGCATTATGTGGATTCTTCGATAGAGCTCTATAATCATCTAGAATTTTTTGAAAATCTTTTACAATTATCTAGGACTTGTGGAAGTTTTCAAGAACATTCGAGAATTTTTAGTGAAATTAAGTTACACATGGTCAAGTGTCAATTAAGTAAAGTATTCTTGAAGCTTCTAGCATAAGTTATAACAGCTAAATAAGAACGACTATTTCGTTAATATTAGAGATGACCGATACATGAGAAAATTCTATTATGGACTGTGAGTGTGTAAAATCAAAACCAACAACCGTTGACAATCAAAATATTTTGGATTTGGATGACGCTGTCAAGCAGCTTGCAGTCAAAGCATCATATGAACTTCGTAAACTGAAAAAGTGTACATCATTTGAAAGGATTCAACAAAGCCGCGCACAAAAAAAAGGGCTAGATGAAATTACAACCGAGCATTGTTCGTACTACGTGTAAGAATCAGAGGAACGATGAAAGAATGTGTCACGAGAAAGGCGATGAAAAGAAAAAGAGAAAATGAATGAATGACGTGAACAACAAGCGGAGAATGGTTTTTCTTTAAGGCTTCCGCCAGCAGCAAATCTTATCGATGTATGCAGCTGAGCTTCAAGGCGAATTTTCTTCTAGAATTTATCGTGAGAGAATGGATAGTGCCTATCAACACTATAATGCTTTATACTTTCAGGGCGAGTGTAGATCTTGTAGATAGAAGATCTCTTTAACTTCATGATCTTCTCATATATCTAGATAAAATAAAAGTCTTTCTTCAAGGAACAGATACTGTATAAAGAAATTTTCGAGGAAGAATTAGACCTTCCAATAGTACTCTTTTATTTGCGCTGTTGAAAGTACAGATTAATTTGCCGAGACGATTTGGATACTAATGCTTTCGGATTGATGAGCAGATCTATCACTTTATCGGTCGACTGTATCGTTAACTTGATCAGAGACCTTAATTTCGGCAATTGTACATTTTGGACTCGTCCTTGATGTGAGGAAAACAGATGGATAATACTGCTAATGGAAACTGTAGTGAAATGACAATAAGCAAACTCGATGACATAATGAAGAGAATTAGTCTTTTCGCTGCTACCTTCAAGATAATGGATGAAGTAGAACAAGAAGAAATATATAGAGTTTAGAGAGAAAAACGAGCACTTCTTCCAGTTCGCATACTTTCTAACATAAATTCTTGGGTTCACGATTACTGGCGATACAATCTTTCAAGAGTAAATGAACTTGTCACAGTTTTCATAGATGAAGAAGGACACGTTCCAACATACCGATATATGGCTATTCATTCATGTGGTCAAAATCTAGGAACCATTTCAACCTTACATGCTCACTCCGATCCTATAACTTATCTTATTTTATTCCCTACGGATATAAAAGATCATACCCAGAGTTATAAAAAGTTGATTGATGACAGAATCGAAAAAGACTACGAATGCTTCAATTCTACGGCTATCGATTGGCTATTCTTGAAAATTCCAGTGCGATCCACTATGCAATAAAATTATTCTAACAATATTTTGTGGATGCTTATGTCACAACTGAACAAAATTGCTGTGCATTCTATTCACTAGATTAAAAGACTTCAAAAGAGCTACGTATATATATATTTAAGGATCTGATAGATCATTTGGCGGATGAAATAGAGATAGAAAAATAAAGATTTGCATGGTTTGTTATTCTTTCCTCAAGTATTCAAGGAAGTCCTAGGGTAATGCAACAATATTAACAAGATGCAATGGCAACAGTCCGAAAAAACGAGTAGCTTGACTTATTCATTACACTTGCCTGCAATTGAACATGGAGAGAAATCGAAGAACAGCTTTTATTGAGTCAAACTCTTTTCGATAAACCTAACCTGATAGCTGGAGTCTTTATGTTCTAATCGTATGAGACTTATTAATGATATCTTCAAGAAGCACATATTGGGACGAACAGTAGCCAGTGTCTTTGTAATTAAATCTTGAAAGTGTGTCATACCACATTGCCATATGTTTATTATTTTGGCGAACAAGAACAAGTCAAAAGATGGAAACTTCATCAACCGTATCGTATCCCATGAAATACCAGATCGTGTTTGGTTTTCACCACTATATAAAACTTTGAAGAGATATTTGATTTATGGATTGTGTCAAACATTGAACAGAAACTCGTTTTGCATAAAAGGTGAAAAATGCTAAAAAGAGTTTTCAAAGGGATTTCAAAATGAGACTATGCCAAATAAGAATGTCCATCTAGAGTATAGCAGGCGAGATAATGTAATTACTGTGAGTGTTAACAAGTATGTGATTGACCACAGATGAATAGCCATTTACAATTCATACTTACAAAATGAAATAGAATGCTCATAATAACGTGGAAATCTATCGAACGAGAAAGAGTATCAAATATATACTTTAATAAGTCTGTAAAGGACGCAATTGTGCTAAAACTCAGTTGGCACGACCAGTTCAACAGCATACTGTTGCTCAAGAAACTATGGCTTGGAAAAAAATTAAAACACATGTCGACGCAAGATATCCGAGCGCACCTGAAACTTCATGAGAATTTTTTGAGTTTCCTTAACATGAAAAGTTTCATACTATTACCAAAGCGTCCTTTCATCATCCAGGTTTGTAGCTAGTCTGTTTTATTGAAAGACACACTGTGAAGTGTTGAAAAAAACTGATGCAAAAGACAAAGCATTTACCACAAGGTTTTAATTTAATCGCAAACAGGCAAATACTAGGCAATATATCTACCATGATATTCGGCATCTTTTGTTTTTAGTGATTATGGCACATGAAAACGTCAATAACTAGGTGCAAATCAAATCCGTAGAATGTATTCTGTCAGTCTTACTAATGTGAAACGCTACCAGGATGTGGGCTTAGTTCAGGAGAATACTTATACTCAAACTTGCAGCGATCTAGGGTGTGGATCTTTCGTTGATCTAAATTCACACCCAATTAGACCCCATCCAGGCCAACACCCACCATAATCCCACATGCACACTTCAACCGACACCCGCACTAAAAACTGAACCCATACCAAGCCCAAATCCATCCACACCTCACATTCACAATTTGTAGTGGATATGCATGAAAGACTCGACGAATTTCAGTGCCATTGTCTTTGCAAATGTACAAACAGAATAGTGATGGCATTAACAATGATCATGAAGATATATCAGACAGTACAATTAGACTCTAAATTAGAGATGTTTTTATTCTTGTGTTATTTGCTTTTATTTTTAATCTAAAAATGAAATACATCAATTTCTTCAAGTAGTTTTTTAAAGCTTGCAATAAGTGAAGCAAGAATTTTTTCACCTTTATCTTGCGTCGCTCCAGTTGGATCACCAACAACACCTGATTGACTCAAATCCTTAGTTACCCATGCACAAGCTAGACCGCCTTCGATACCCAACAAATTTTTGTCGCTCATGCACATTGATGGATACTCTTTTTCTGCTAGATTCATTCTTACATATTTGTTCAAAAAAGTGAGCATTAAGCTCGTCTCTATATCACCCGCATGTATACCATATTTGAATTCATTCGATGTTACCAATGTCTGACCAACATTGGGTAAGTGCCATATGAAGATAGGAAAGAGCAGAAAGTCTGAATAGCGTTGTCGCAGTTCACGTGCCACAATTTCGATTACTTGTGGTTGACCACCATGTGAGTTAAAAAATACGAGCTTCCGAAATCCGCTCCGATACACACTGTCAGCAATGTCCATAAGTACGCTTGTCAAAGTTGTGACACTCAAGCTAATTGTACCCGGAAATGATATATGTTCAGTTGAGCGACCCGAATGTTGAGGTGGAAGAACGTAGACAACAGGATTGTCACATGAAGAAAATTGTTCGAGTGTCTTGCCAATAACTTGCAGACCAATGGCATCATCAGTTATCAAAGGTAAATGTGCACCATGCTGTTCAATAGCACCTATTGGTTGAATCAGTATGACATTGGTCTTATTAGGCATCGTATCAATATCACGGCATGTTAAGTATGAATAATATCGCTCGGCAGGTATTGGCCCATGAAACATTTCTTTATCTAGAACATAATGAGACAAAAAATAACTTTTCAAAAAGTCAAATGTCTCCTAATTTATATATTTATTAAGTGCGTTCAAAATATAAAATTTCGTATTGTTGATTGAAACAAGTGTCTATAGTTTTTCTTCTCATTTCATTGCGCAAGTGGAGATGATGGCAATGTTCCCCAAACAAGATGTCCTCGATGCACTGTAGCTAGGATTTGCCGTGGATCTAAGCGTAACACTATTGTCGCGATCAAGTTTTTTGTTCGAATGAGATGAGTAGCACCGAAATCCAGCATTATGAAATCGGCAGGTCCGTTTTCATATATGCCTCCTTTCTCGTTCTTTCCATAAATGGTCGGATAACTGTTAATAGTAGTGGCCATTCGAAGAATCTCTTTTGGATCATGTGTCTGATCACCACTTTGGCTTTTGCATAAACGATAAGCAAAATCCATTTCAGCTAACATATTAGGTTGATTAAGCATGACATTATCAGTACCGAGCATAAGATTAATACCACTGGCAAGAAGTGCATGGATAGGTGGCAACTTGAGACCAAGCGTTGCATTGGCTCGGGGACATACAACAAATGTACGCGGTCGACAACTAGAAAACACATTATTAGCAAAAGAAATAGATCAATCAAAATCAACTCATGCCGATCGGTTTTGTTTTGTTGTTGAATAATGACGTCAATATCTGCTTGTGTAGCTTCAGTTAAATGTACAATAATATCAGGATCGTAGAGTTCAAATGCTTTTTGCAAATCACTTTGACGTCCACCTGTTCGTGCCATACTCACACTTCGATATGTATCATTTTCAAGACAATGAATAGCTCGTAATTTATTGTTACATCTATATGACATATCTCGTATGGTTATCCATGTGCGATCTGGCAAATCATTCATTGTACTCTCCGAAAATCCATCAGCAGCATCATCATCATTTCTGTTCCATAATTTTTCAAGCTCAAATTTCCACTCGTCTGGTAAGTCTTCATTGTTATCGATGTCTTCCTCGAATGGAATCCGATCGAATTGCGAGAGTACGATTGATTTTAGCCCGCGAGATTGTTTCTCTGCTTGTCGAATCAGACGTAATCCATTAATACCCTGTTCACGAAAATCCCAGTGCATAACTGTACCTGTGGAAAGCATGTAATTCATGGTATCATGCATAGCATCTACAAGTTGTTGTTCTGAATGTTTCGCTAATTCGATGTATTTGAAGCCATTTGGACGAAAAAAACCTTGTTCAAGCGTCAATCCTGTGGCTCCGTCTGCCAAGCATGAGTCTCCAATGTGCGTATGTCCATTAACAAATGCCGGTATAAGCACGCGATTAGTTAGTGCACTACTGAAGTTTAAATTGTAATCGTTATCATTTGCAAACTCCAAGCGTGTAATACGTCCTGATATATGGTCCCAAACAAAATTTTTGCACAAACGAACTTCAAGGTTTTGATCGTAAAGTACAAGGACATTTGACAGCTCAGGCATAATAGCTTAGTGTATATCTATTATAATAGATAAGATGCGCATGTTGAAACATAAAGACAAACAGAATCGACGCCTTCTTATCTATTGTCAACACTCTTTTTGTCTCATATCTGCTGTCTGACAAGTCTTTCTTGTTGCAGAAGCATGCATACTAGGCATTCGAATGGACTTAGTCAGATCAAAAATAATCTAATCATGGACTATCAGGCTCTTAAATCGTGTAATCCATAGTTTATCCTTCCTAAAATTTCTAGTCAAATATACACTTATGCATAGACTGGGATGTCATAGGTGTTCACATGTCATCCATTCAACCAAAATATGTTGTGCAAATCAGAGTCTGAAATGAATTGAACTTTTCATCTTCTAGTTGTGTGCAGATGTGGGTGTGAGTGTGAGCTTTTTTGCATATACATCCACACACCTACTCTCTTCATTGAAACTTACCGAAAACTCTTGGCCGCTAATCTTGGTGAGGACATACGAAAACTTAAAAAAAAACAAATGTAGTCATATTTCTATCCAGAATTAGAAATCACAACCTATTCGCTAGCATCCAAGAAGGTACCTATATCAGGCAAGGCAGAGTCATGCGTTTATTTATGCTATAATAAAAAAATTATATTATATAGAGAACTTCCTTGCGAAATCCACATCTATTTTTAAAGAAAATAGTGAGAGTAAGTTGGACTCTCGAAGTCTTGCAGTTCATCTCCCCTCTACCTCATATCCCCAATCGCAGCCCTTGGCAACTGTGAGTTTAGGGCACTGAACGACATTAATAACAAGGTTTAGAATGTTCTAGAACATTCCAAACCTTCCTTAAAATTCATTTGGCTGAAATGTGTTTTTAATATTCTGCTAAAGTAGTTTTTAAGTTGTGTACAGATAAACGACTACATAATAGATATTAAAGATGACAAGAATCATGATATTATTTTGCGATAAATTTCCTACGACCAATACACAGACATGAACAGATTGAATTTTAACTTTTAGAAATAGTTTATATCAATCTTGTTGGATACATCGAGATCGATAATAGGTCGTCAAAATCTGCTGAAGATTAATGAATGTTTACAACAGGCTAATTTGTTCATTACACTAATGATTCGACTAATAACAATAAATTATCAAAAATGATAAAAGACGCATAAAACGGAGCGCTGGACAAAAAAATAAAACAAAATTCGTATTACCAATATAGATATAAAAAAGACAAGGCGTTTATTGACTATCGATTATTGTAGAAAACCAACTATCGTCTTTTAGAGATTTTCGCTTTGTGTGTTTTGTATTAGTATTATGAAGGTAAAGACGATATGTGAGTTACATATTTCAGTCCAAAAGCGGCTGTGCTAACAAGTTTTATTAAACACGACCTGGAAGCAGTGTTACATTGTGTAGGGTAGAAATTTAGACCTCGGCTCCCACACAGACCGTAACAGACGTTTTGCATGGATGATTACCGGTTATATATCGCTAAGCTCTCATGAAAGTATATAAATTGCTATCTTTTTTAGTTTTAGAACATAAGTAAAAGTTGATGAAAAATGGGTCCGCAGATCAATTGAATATAACAATATTCTGGCGATTAGTAGCAACAGCTATATTGTGTTTCACACTTATTCTGCAGAAATTGCACCAACAGCTTTTATTACTATCAGAACGAATCCTAGTATACTATGCGTGGATAAGAGGTCATTTTGGAACTTCTCTTTCAATTAGATTCCGTAGGTCATTCTACACCATCTCAAGCCTATTCTTTCGTCACTTTGTAGTATTCAATGCTGTTTGAAAACATAAAACGGGGACTTTTGTAGACAGCATTTTTCTCTCGAGAGATCCTTTCCAAATTTTTTTTTCGAGTGAAATCACGATTTAAGTGAAGATCTGCTTAGCAATAGGAACTATCTAGTAAACTCAGTTTTTTATCAGAGTAGGTACTTAATGGGAGTTCTCTGTGACCTAAGTTTTAGTTCTCTAAAGTGATCTGCTCATAAGATACGTACATATGCATAAAATGTTGAAAAATAACAATTTTTTCATGTACTGAGCAATCTTGGTCAACTCATTACCAGCTCATTTTTTGGTTAAAAGCACTTAAACCTGAGATTTACTCACAGTCAAAATTTTTAGCCCAATAAATGAATTCTTAATGACATATGAATGCCAAAGAAAGTGCGAAAAATTGTGTTTTATTGGCGATATGGATTTTAGAAGAGTTATAGTCTCGAGAATGAAACAATACTTGTTCAAAGGGCTCCTATGGATACTCATTAAATACTTGCCCTTGCGACATATATACCAACTAACAAAATTAGTGATTATCGATTGAGTAGCTTCTGAAGGAGTAGAATGTGGCTTAGGACGAATGGCTTCTAAATAAACACCTGTAGAATTTCGAACAGGGAAAGCGGTTCGAAATTTGCATTGATCCATCTAAAAAATGGAAGAATTCAACATAAAACACACTGAAAAGTACTATGTCCGGCTAGCCTAAATTTCTTCATCATTTATCAGAGTTCTGCTGACATTTATTTTCGGCTCAGATATGAAAAACTTCCACAATGTTTCCTGACTATACCTTTGTTGTCCTACAGGTTCTGATTGTATTTCACTTATTCTCGGTAGCTTAGAAAGAATGAAGAGTAAGTCGATTTGATGCAATAAGATTTTAATGTGAAATTTTCCTTTCGTGTCACGTGAAGCTTTTGGCTGTTTGATTGCAGAAAAGAATATGGAACGGGTCAGAAAGAAGGGAAATATCGATATCTTTGTTTCCAGATAATATCGTTCGGAGGTCGAAAGTGGAGTCATTGATCTAAGAAGGCTAACTACCGAGAACTGACGAGGAACCATATTTAAGTGTTCAAGCTGTTTGAACAGCATGTTTTGGCCACAAATAGATCTAGATGATACATGGAACGATCAGAATGATTCATTCCCTCAAGTCTTTGTTCCGAATACATAAAATGTTTTAGAAGTTTTCTCCATAGAATCAATCGGATACAAGCTTCTAAGCAAAAAAAACGTATTTTTGACTTATGACTTGAAAAATTGTCCACATTAAGGTCTTCGCTAAACTAGTTTGTGTACAAATTTTCAGATTTTTTACCAAAGTCTTTGCGAGACATAAATTTTTCAAAATGCATGCGCTTTTTCGACAAATTTTACAGAAAATATGACATTTTTGAAAAACTAATATTTCACACAATTTATGTTAAAAAAATCTGAAAATTTGTACACAAACTAGTCTAGCAAAGGCTCGAATGTGGACAATGTTTCAGGTCATAAGTTAAAAACACGAAAAGTCATGATGAAGAGTGTAGAACACCAACTAGAAAATCCTATACACTTTTAAAAGAATTTGAATTTTGCATTGATAAAGAATCCACACATTTACATAAACTACAAAACTTTTTCAATAGTTCTATTTGAAAAAATCTTATCCAAAATTCTTTCAAATTGTGTAGGCAACAAAAATATTGTTCACGAAATATACGAAACATTCGTGATTTGACTGAAAAAATCATGTCATTGAGGAAACTAAAAGAACTTGATATAAAAGACTTTCTCAATGTAATTTTGAAAAATTTTTCGTTGCCAGTTAAGTAAATGTGCCGATCTTTTCTCAATTCGATATTGAGATTCCTCAGAGAGTACATGATTTTTTCATATTTTTCTTCATTTTTCATCATCATTTCTCACGAACTTAATTGATAATATACGAATATACTGCACGAAAACATATTGCAATATTTTGTTCATAATAATGAATGATCCGTACGGAGAAGTGTCCATGTGAAGAAATGTTTGCAATGTTTTGTTCACATCGACTCATATTGTGAGGAAAATATCAATCACTCAATACTGTATGTGATAGTAATCTTACATATATAGTTTGTAATCACATATAAAAATAAAATAGATGTAATTATATTGATCAAACGTTCGTCAAAATTACTTTTTAACGATAGCATGTATCAAATAAATATGAGACATGTCATTGGATGGCGTAAAAACATTGGACTAAATTTTGATATTTGAGAAAAAAAATTGGTTTCTGTTACCTTATTGTGAAATACTGGACTGAAATCACAATGTTACAAACTTCATAAATTACTTTGTAGTAGTCACCACTCACAAGTAACCGCTATCTGTTGTTTTTCTTTCATCAAATTTTTTTTCTTTTTACCAACAAAGTCAAGGCCATGCATTGATACGTGGTGGAAATATTTATACTTTCATTGCACAATGGACGCATATTCTTTATTACCAATAAAATATTAAAAAAAACACTTGGGAAAGGCAAACACATGCGATACAAGTACGCAAATAGAAAGAGAAAGAAAATAGATAAGAATTCGGCGATTTTCTTTAGGACTGATAATATTGTTACTGACAGTAGTTGCGATTTATATGTATATTGATGAAGTTATTCGAAATATCAGTATAACGTAATACATACCTTGTTTCGGTCATATATATTTAAAGTTACTTTTCTTAAACTTGCCCACCCAACAATATTTGCATATTGTCACATTAAACTAATTATTTTGCTGAAATAAAGGGGCATTATCAATCATAATCAAATACAATCCGATGTCAACTTTAAAACTTATCGGATGAGATGATGTTGCTCTTCTGATAACAATCATATTTCGTGATTTTGATTTAACGCTGAGCGATAAACACAGACCATTAATTGTATTACAGATATATTTGATACTTCAATACTTATGCATTTCGATCTCTTTTTGAGTGCAGATATGGATGAATGTGGCTGTGGCAGTAGCTGTAGATGCGGATGTTTGTAGGTAAAGATAAAGAGAGCATTGACACCCACATCCTACTCGTACCAGAAAAAAAACTGACAAACTAACAAATTTAAAATATGACGTACTTATGGCGCGCCTGGATAGAGATATTTAATTTTAAAATTACGCACAATCTGTTACCGAATCAAAGGTCAAGAGTTAAACATTAATGATTAACGATAGAAATCAGCGACTGATAAATGCCTCAAGCTCAAGCTAAATAATTCTTCATACGACAATCCAATGGATGAATTCTGAGCTCTCCAAAGTTCTTTCTATGCATGTCATAAGCACTTCATATTTTAAATTTATTATTTTGGCAGTGGGATCTTTAATTTAACTCGAATATGTCCAATCAACTTGAGTTACAGCACACAAACTTTCATTGTTAAAGAAGGCTAAAATTTTGGTTTTACAGGTTGTTTTTTTATATGCTCTCTCATTTCCAATGACCATAATGATATGTCATAAGTTTTCATATGACTCAATTTCTCATTTCATCTATACACTATCTCTTAGAGTATCTTTAAGTACTATGAAGTACCTCAAAGTATCTTGAATCAGATAAGAATATTTAAAGTTTAAAGTATAATGTTTTCTTCTTGAGTTGGAACTTCATTAAAAAAAGACTTATCGAAGGATAGTGGCTACAGGTGACTTGAATTGATCTCTCGAAGTGTTGCTTTGAACGTTGGTTACTGGTCTTAAACATGATTCAGATGAATTATAAGGATGATTTAGTGTATGATATGTCTTGATCATGTTCTTGAACATACTAAGTCACTGATCGAAATCAATGAAGAATCTTTTCTTCATTAACATTTTTCAGGCTGAAAGAATCAGCGTTTGAAATATCAAGAGAGGAAATGAGACGGATTATTTCTTTTATGGAAGTCAATTATTGAAGAAGAGAAAGCTGTCAAAGTTTTCATTAAAAGATTCAAAATTTCAACGAATTTGCTTCTCTACAATCTTCATTGGTTTTCATTCGGTTTTCAAATAACTCACTGTCTCTGACAGTTTCTCATTTAGTTTTTTTTGCTTTATTTTTATTTTCATAGCATAGAATTTGTGAAAAACTAAACCAAAGCGATGATTCACCAAAAAGATGTTTATGCTCGTTGTACACATCGTTGAATCGAAGTAATGATGGTCATTCGAGAATAGTACAAATGTAACAAAAGTGCTATTACAGATACAAATACAAATGTAATAAACAGTCCACCCATAATATGAAGAGAAAACTTTTCATCTTCTCTCTTTCCACCTATTTCATCTTTACCGCCTGGTGATGTCAATGAGTTCAGACATTTGTGTTGTCCAAACCACTTTTTCTCTAATTGTTCTAAGACTCCTAAATCGCGCAACATTTGAATGTAGTGGTTTAAATCAGATTTGTATTCCCAATTTTTACGCATGATAACGCCAATGGGCGATTTGATCGCTCCAACACCGACCACGGTTAGTTGCTGACAATAGTGATTCCCAATGGCATATTCGAGTGCGGATGAACCCCACAAAGCGGCATCAATGCTATTGTCTAGCAAACGCTGATATATATCTTGACTTTTTAATAGAGGAAAGTAGATTGAAGAAATATTCTGAACATAATAATCGGCAGTGGCACTATTCGGCATGATACCAATGCGTGAAAAGGATAATCGACCATTTTTAATATCATCAATGCCTGAGATCAGTGGTTGAGTTCGTGTCAATGTGAGAAATGAAGACAAATTGGCCGTGTAAATAGCGACAATAATAGTGCCCAATGCTTTGAGACCAATGGTCATTATTCGACTTGACATCTTAGTCAAAGGAAGATCATGATCGAAGCTCATCAGATGACTTAACATTTGGCATAGTTCCATGACCACAACTCGAAAGTTTTTCGTTTGAGTCATTTCATTGTTGTTGGGCTGTCGTTCAAAATAATATAGAAGAATTCCAGAATAGACGATGAGTGCGGCAAGAGCGAGCCAGACATCCCATGAGAATGGACTGAGAAAGGAAAATAGACTGAAAGCAGATGAAAAAGAATTGTCACGAATGACAACACGAATTGTATTTTCGTGAATAGGCACTGAAAAATCAACACTATGAAGACGATTCGTGGTGATCCGCATGTCCGATACAGAAATATGCCATTGACTGTTATTATCAGCCACCATTGTCACTAAAGTATGATAGGGTGTATTAGATGGAACTACCTGAATTGTACAATTGAAAAGCATTCTTGTTTTCAGCTCGTGTATTACATCGGCCAAGAAACCATAAGCGGTTACATTTGGATCGATCGTTATTAGTGCACTTGATCGATGAATCAACTCTCCATCGTTCTCCAGTCGTTTCGTGGATTCTCTCGGAGATGAGGCATTGCAAATTATGAAGAATGGAGCCGATTCAATGATCAAAATATTCACATTTTCACCTATTCAACAAAATACAAGCTTTTACATTGATAGTCAGCAACAAAACTGTGATTTTAATACGAATTGCAATCTTTAAGTACACTTTTCAAACTAGATTGATGTCAATCGTCTTTGCAGAAAAAAATAAAATAAGTTTGTCAAACTCTAATTTTAATTGATTAATACATAACCTTCCCCCTTATTTTCTCTCCTTTAAGTTTGTTTTACCTAGGGGTGGCACTTTAACTTTACTTTAAAGTTAAAGTTAAAGTAGCATGCTTCAACTTTAAACTTATGGTTACTTTAACTTTAACTTCAAAGTTAAAGTAAAAACAAGCATACTTTAAACTTTAACTTTAAAAAATTTAAAGTTAAACTAGATTTTTCCGCAAAAAATTATTTTTTGCTAAAAAATTTTTTTTTTCCTAAAAAAGTTGTTTTTTCATAAAAAAGTTATTTTTTCATAAAAAAATTGTTTTTTAGCAGAAGCAAATTTTTTTATAAAATAAAATGAGTTTTTTACAAAAAAACAATATTTTTACGAAAAAATAATTTTTTTACGAAGAAAATGATTTTTTTCATAAAAAAATTATTTTTTCGCAAACATATTATTTTTTTATGAAAAAATAACTTTTTTATGAAAAAAAATCAGTTTTTAGCAAGAAAATAATTTTTCTATGAAAAAATATTTATTGCGAAAAAATCTACTTTAACTTTAAATTTTTTAAAGTTAAACATTAGAGTAAACTTGCTGTAACTTTAACTTTAAAGTTTAAAGTAGAATACTTTAACTTTAACTTTAAAGTTAAACTGTTTTACTTTAACTTTAACCACTTTAACTTTTAAAGTTTAAAGTTAAAGTGCCACCCCTAGTTTTACCTCGAATTGTTGGATGATCACTTGGTACGTCTTTGGAATCCTGGGGCCAAACGATGTCAATCGTTAAAGAATCAGTCAATTTTTTCCATTTGTCTTTCGTTCCAAACCATTTCATCACTGGTTCATATTTAAGGTGTCCATATGGCTCGTTTTCAGTTGTTTCTGTTGACTGCACATTGTAGAGTACATAATAAGCACCACCAATACGATCATTTGAAACATTTTTTGCAAATTGAACAGTTCCCGAAACCCCAGAAAAAGAAATTGTTTCGAGTTTTTTATGGTACTCGTTACTGTTCGTTAATGAACTGTTGAAGCAAAATGGTGTGGCGACAAATACAGGACTATTGTTAAATGATAATTTGTTCAGAGCTTGAATCAATGTCCATGCAGCATCAAATGTAAACATAGCCAACGTACTGATGGAAGCCAAGTTTGCTGGATAACTACTTTTGTCTTCTGTTGAATGGCGCCAAATAGCAAGAGCATCTTCAAGAAGCGTTTGATTAATACGTAATTCAAGACCAGTGCCATGTGTTGGCATCACTGTGAGAAGACCTTTCAATTTCTGATGATCATTTCTATTGAATTTACTCAATATGACCTGTCAATTGCAAGATCGATAAATATCAGTATAAGAAAAGTTCAATAGTTTCACACATTTACAATGATACACATTGAATACTCAAAGGCTTCTATTTCTAAAGAAATCTTAAGATATTGTTTTCGATGGCAATTGAGTTAGAGATATATTTATTACATGTTGTATCGAGTTCAAAAATCGGCAGTTATTGTATTCACTCAAGCTTGATTTGATGAGAATTCAACTTCACTGTCAAGATGAGCATTAGTCTACTGTAGTTTAGCTCTCATTTAATCGTCTCTTGCAAAAAAATTTTCCTGAATAGATTGCACAAACCTGACTTTACCATTATCAACTAGATGATGCTGGTTTTGATCAACCCAATATGAATTATCGCAACTCTAACGAAGTTTAGTTTATTTGACTCAAAATAGAATATCATCTGATGAATTTTACTTCTCATTTATAAGAGTCAAAACTATTAACTCTTAAGAGCTGAATGTCCCTTCCAAGGGACATTTAAATAATTGTAATCAAAGTCTTATAAAAATGTTGTAGACAAAAACCAATATTTTTCTGGATTGATATGACTTTCGAGGCCATATCTAGACCAAAATGTAGTATTCAGGTGGCTGTTAGGCGTAGCAAAACACCTTTTAGGACTGATGACTTTTTTAAATAAAACCTTTCTTCCATAAAGTTGTATCTATTCGGAGATGCGACATACAGTGTAGTTTATTTTACGTTACACTCTTAAGCCTATCATCAAGCTATTCAATGTCAGCGTTCTAGAATCTTTTAACCGATCTACTGACAGATTGTGCCATGATCAATAAAAAATTCCTTCGGTGAGACATTCAGCCTCATAGAAGAATCAAAACAATGTATTTCTAACATGAAACTTGGCTCATACACAGTCCTAGTAGTGTTTAGGAAGTTTCAAAATTTTCAGAAACAATTGTTATTTCTTTCGTGAGATACAGAAGTTGAAGTTTTTAGCAATTTTTAGCAAAATTTAGCTGGTTTTTGGATTTTGAATATCTCAGCAAGAAAGCATCCTTTCTAAGTGAAAATTTCGGAGCATATTAAGTATTATCAAAACTATCTAAAGGCAAAGTTTCGGATCGAAATTCCTTGTTTTTCGAATTTTTGCAGGGATGAATATTCCTGCCAAAGCAGGTTGCATAGGTTCAGAATAAGAAGAAGGTAATTATTTTTAACTATAGTATGAGTATACTGAGGGTCCATAATCTCTGTTTTTCTAATTAGATTCTCATTTTTATAAGCGGAAGCCACTTCGGCTCTTAAGGGTTAATCGAATCGATTATTGGATCATTAATAAAAATGGAGTCAGCCAGACGTGGAAATTGATGGTCTAGATGAATGAAAATCGGGTTATGAGTAAATCATCTTTGGCACCTTGTTTCCAAACCAATCAGCTGGATATTATTTACTATAAACGTACGTCGTATCATAAGCTTTCGTATATCGTGAGCATTTCAACCGATTTCAGTTAAAACATGCATGACATCTCGAGTGCACGAAGTATGAGTATGGTGGTGTTTGTGGTATGGCTACATGGGTAGTACGTTTATTGATGATAGAAGGTTATCTATTAATTTTTTCCGTTGTATTGATGTCCGGTCAGGTTCTATTGAAAATATGGGAAATCAGTTATGGTTGGATTCTTCATAACTGTTATTTGGAACTTCAAATTACCAAGAATAGAATGAATTCAATATCTTTTACGACTAGAATGAGAGCTTGTAGATAAATGACAGAGAGTGAGAAAGACAAAATTGACAAAAAGCTTTCTTATTGCTATTAATAAATGGCTCTTTATTACTTCGATTGGAACAGACTTTCATGGTATTTGAAGTATTCATACGATAGTCAATTCGAGTCAATACTCAGGAAAATTCAACAAACAAAAAGAAGTACTGTTGAAATTAAAACACATAGGAGAGAAGAAAACAAAGATCAACAACAATTATCTTTCTATGGCGACTCACGAATAATAACAATTGTTTTCACATTAAAATATCAAGTAGTAATGGCTATTAATGAAGATTTGCCATGATATCTTCAAATAATGAAACTAGACGAATCTTAAGATGCCCGTACAAGAAAGGAAACATAGGTAAACAATGAAAATGCAAAAGAGCTTTAGACTCTTTTACCAAATTACGCTTTGAAATCAGAAAAGATGATTTACAACTATACCTATATCAATAGAAGAGTTTGCTCGTGTTTTCACTAGACAGCAATTACTACTAAATTACTTTTAAATGAAAAAATAGTTGAAAATGCTACAGCTCAAATCCAAGAAAATCCATTTACGACTTTTTCGCTGACATATTTTTCTTCTTATTTTGACGTTTAGCACAAAATATGCATTACCTGATCTGTTGTTACCCACACAAACGATCCTCCGATGAGACCTGCGTTGAGTGCATGTTGAATGATTGTCGTCGATGTAGTCTGATTTGCCCAAACGAGTACAATGCGTGATCGACTTGATTGTAGTGTTGACTTCAAATCGACATGAAATGTATTTGACCACGGATCGAAGGTTATCTGTTCTTTAATCGATATTATTGTATTATAATGTTCGGACATTAATTTTAATCCACCGTAGCCGTAGTCATTTTTTTCACATATCATTACGCATGTTGCCCATGAAAACTGTTGGAAAAGTTCTACAATAGCTTGACAGAGAATGCTATCAGATGAAATAGTGCGATAGAAAGTCGGATATAGTCGACTATCGGAAAGATCAGCATTTGTTGCGCCATATGAAACGAGTGGTAAACCAATTTGAGCAACGAGTGGACCCAGAAATCGAACATCATTGGAAGTAAGTGGCCCTACAATGCCCACTATGCCTTCCTCTTCATCACTGTTGATGTGCTGACATATCAGATGAAGTGCAGAAAATCCATTAACAGTGGTCATTGTTTCGACAATACTATAATTGATAGGACGACCACCAACACGAATTCCATATTTATCAGAAAGCGAGATGGCAGCACGGAACATGGCCATTGATTGGGTTGACCATTGAACAGCGTTGTGAGATTCAAGATCATGAGAAAATGGCTGTTCTTGTTTTGGAAAGAGACCAAGAATTTGGATACCATTCGAAAATTCAACAAAAATATGAATATACATCAACACAATAAAATGTATTAGTGCCATTACTATGATCTATTTAAATGAACCATCTGCCAGTCAAATAGAAACATCTATGATTAACTGAGCAGATGTGCTTTTATAGTTACGAACAACAAAAATCATATATTTTCTCTCGAGCACATTATTTGAAGAACAGATAAATATTGAACTTTCTATTGAATATTGCTGTTGATAGAAGTATTTTTCACTTTTATGCTCGGCTCTATTGTTTGTTAAGATGTAGTTTGAGTTTTGAACTCAGATGTTCTTTTTTTCTCTTGATCAATGAAACTTTTTATTGCCAGCTATCGATGTATCAATCTCTTGTCAGTTTGTTGTGACAGTTTTATCGAGAACGAGAGACAATAATACCAAAATTCTTTACCACGTGACACTTCTCTATTCTATTTGAGTGAGACTGATATCAATCTAGTTTTCAAGACTTGACTTCACCATAAACACATCCTATTCAAACGCGTATTGCAATAAAATATTTATCAAGGAACTTTGGTGACATAAATCAAGCATAGTTGTATCAAAATCACGTCACTCATCTTCAATTTTCACTACTGACACCATTCAAACTATTGAAGATTACAAGAGAGAAAGCGAGTACTTTGATTTTTCTTGCTTTCATACAGTAACAAAAAAACCATCAATATATTTTTTCATGCTGCAGTGGTAACTGTAATCTAAAAAAATTTTGAAACACAATTCTATCCAATTTAGTAGCATATTATAAGAAAGTTAGATAAAGGGTGTCTCATAAGTTCTGGGTCTCAACAAAACTTCGTTAATATG